AGAGTGATCTATTGCACAGATCTAGATCTCAGGCAACCCCTCAAGCTGCCGAAATACTGCAGTATCTTTCAGGCAGAATTCTATGCAGTCAGCAAAGCTGCTGAGAAAGCTAACAACGCAGTTAAAAACGATACAAAACGAAATTTCCGAAAGGGCTGACAGACGGATCAGGGTGAGATGGAAACTCTTAGAGGCATGGGAGCGGAAGGAAAAAACTCAAGGTCTTGAAAAGACAGCAAAACGTTTGTTGTCACGGGCCACAGCTTACTGGCATACATGCGAGCTGTATGGTCAGTATTAATGATGACACATGTAGAAAGTGCAGGGAAATAGGCATGAAAGAGACAAAATAGGCTTAGATATCCAGAAGCTTCGCATATCAAGAGACTGTATGAAGTATAAGAATTAGGTATTAATTCTCTATTAAACTTCTCAAAAAGCGTAAACTTCAGCTCGTAATAATAAACCTCCATCTGGTATTACAAAGCTATGTATGGAATGAAAACATCGAATTATTGAAAGTAAGATTTTAACTGGAAATAACAAAAAATTGCTTTAATATTTAACAATTATACAGCAAATTAAGTTAAACTTGTTTGTTTGCATATTGAATAAATTAATTAAAGTGTAACAAGTTTTATTAAAATATTTTAAAATTATGTTTTCAATAGAAAAAGTAGTTAGCAAAAATAGGTTAATATAAATTTCAGCAAATCTAATTCCATATAAATTTAAATTTACACAAACCTCATTGTGCTTTTCTTAGGCTTTATATAGGTTTTATTCCGTTTCTTTGTTTGCTCAATTTTTAATTAGTTCTTCAGACGTTTGGATGGACCTGATGGTTAAGTATTTGACTTTACTTATTTGGTATAATTTACGGAATTGTGATTATAGATCGCTCTAAATAACTAACTAACTTGTGATGATTAGTCCAAATATTTAAAGATTTTTCAGTTTCATCAGAGCAATATGAAGAGTTCATGTCTACCCCTTTAACTTCTCTCTCATTATATGGTTAACCGCTTTACCAAAACTTTATCGGCAACATGTTGAAAAATGCTTTTCTCAATATCTAGTTAGAAACTTAGTTTATGTCTGGTAAACTTTACCAAAAGAAGATCTCTTGGTCAGTTTCTAATCAGAACAAGAAATGACAGCTGTTAGCTGTAAAATCTATAAGCAAAAACTATTTGGAGTAATATTAATAATGAATTGAATTTTAATGGAGTATTTGGGCCACATTTCTTATCTTACGAATCTTTCTACGCTATGTACTCGTAGAAAAGTACGACGATGATACCTTTGTTCGTAGATTTCGCATATCTTCCGCAGAAATAAAGTTGGGAAGACGATATCGTTTATTATCGCTATTTTTTTTAAATTATTTTACACGGCTCATGACGTTTATACAATTTTTGGAGATTCAAAATGTAAGTGTTGTGAACTGTTTTCCACACACATCAATAATAATCAAACTATATGTAGGTAAGCTAATCCCAATTTGGTTAAAATGGTTTTGTCATCCAATTAAGCTACCAGAGGTTAAGCACAATATTGTGATGAATGAATCGACGATAAATTGCCAGAGTTAACTAGACAGCGAAATTCGTAGTTTCCAGAATATTCGAGTGGCGAAGTTTTGTTAATGATCTACTATATAAGAGCTGCCGGATTGTGCAGCAGATACAGTTCTAGTTAGAGTGCTGCCATGTTAGGAGCAAACGAAATATAAATAAGAAGTTGTATTCGCATAATAAGTAATAAAGCGTTAAGTTATTGGAATTTCAAATAAAGATAAGTGTGTAGCAATTAAAATGGAATTTTTATTTAACAATCCAGTGATTGAACTCAAAATTGAGTTGCTAAGTAGACGATTTGTCAAGAAATCTGTTACATTTGGTGTCAGAAGTGGAATTTTCAAATGATTTCTCAAAGGAAAAATTGTTTTAAAATGGCAAAGTTTAACAATCTGAAGATTCCACAACTAAAAAGGAGCTGGAGCAACGTGGTTAGGCAGCAGTCGGTAAATCAGGATAAAATTAGGGCTGAATGGATGAGTTTTTGCAATTAGATCCTGATGTGCAAGGTGTAATGACTGAAGTGGAGTTGACCCAATGTACAACGAATGAAAAAAGAGACGCAGAAAGCTTAGTCGAAGAAGCATATTGGGCAGAGCGGAGCAGTTTAAAATTGGTGTGTTTCTGCTTGCGTCGACTAAGGAAAGCGAAGGTGGGTAAAGCTCCCGAGCACTTAATATTATTTCGAAGGTTGGAATTCCTGAAGTTCTCAACGAGATGCCCATTGGTCCAAGTACCATCTTGTGACGAAATTCTTTTGATTTGAGAAGAAGAAGCATAGAACAGCAAGTAAATTGTAAACAAAAACGTATACACTTTTGTTAATTGGTGAAATAGACTTAATTAAGTAGTTTATAGTGAAATGAGTAGAGTAATGTTGCGGGAAAATATCTTGGCAATTTTTTAGTAAATACTTGTATCTACTGACAACAAATGAATGATTAAAAGGGATTGTGATTGATAAATATTATTATAATTGCATATATATAACTTACGCAAAATAACTTCTAACTTATTTTAATAATTATTATTTTTTGTAGGAATTCAGAGCAGGTGTTGGAATTTCAGGGAGAAACCTTTTTGGGAGTTAGAAGCACAGATTTTGGTATTTATTTCTGAAGAAAATTTAGCAGAAACAAGAAGTAAGTTTATGATTTTATTTGCATTTTATATTTCATCATGTTTAAACATTTTAGGAATGGAAGACATAGTCCCTACATTGAAGTGACAAAAGCGAGTTCGTAATTTTACGGCCGAGGAAAATAAAAACATATAAAAGAAGTGGAGCAGACTTGGATCCACCTAAGCAATTCACTATAAAAAAACTAGTGTATGTGTATAAATTCAAGTTTTATTTTATGCAACTTGTTTATTTTATTATTATTTAGTTAGCGAATGCAAAGCAGTAGATTGGGAGTTCGCTGAGGAAATGGCACTTTTGCCAAATGGGTCGCACAAAAAAATGTAAGACTATTTAATTTTATCTTGCCATTTTATTACATTTTGTATTTTTTTATGGACAAATTTCACAACTCCAGCTAACTTGGAAGATTTCGAGTCATCCTCTCCAATAGGTATTGGGATGAGTGAAATGTTTCGCAAGCATTTGATTTACAAAACGATTATGTAAGCACATACATGAATAAAAAAGAAAATGTTTTATTTTTTATTTTTATAATAATTTTTCAATATGTTCATGCAATTAGAGGATCAAGTGTGTATTGTTATGTGTATTTAGTTTCAGAATCCAACAGCCACTACATGTAATGAAACTTCCAGCACAAGCCAAAGTACTGAGGCATGGACTCTATTCAACAATATTTAAAAACAAGTAAGGAAGGGCTAAGTTCGGATGTAACCGAACATTTTATACTCTCGCAAAGTCAAATGGTATACTCGTTTAAGATTTCTTTGTGGATTGACTGATATTTTCGGTAGACGGTCAACTATAGGTACTGGGGTCCACATATTCAGTACCTAGGGGCTTGAACAGTTTTGGTTCGATTTAGACAATTTTTGGTCACAAGGTGGCATACTTTAAACGTATTATTCACGCAAAGTTTTACGCCGATATAATCATTGTTGCTTGATTTGCATAGTGGAAAGTGAAAGAATCAAGTGGTATTTAAAATTGTGTCATATGGAAAATAGGCGTGGTTGTAATCCGATTTCGCCCATTTTCGCACTATGACATAGAAACATGAAAAGAACGTTATGCACCGAATTTGGTTGAAATCGGTTGAGCAGATCTCAAGATATGGGTTTTCACCTAAAAGTGGGCTGTGCCACGCCCACTGACTAATTTTGAACGCGGTTCCTATAAAGCCAATTTATACCATCTCAGAAATAAAATTTAATGTCTCTGGCGTGTTTAGTGCTTGATTTATCGCGCTTTTAGTAGTTTTTAACAGTACCGTTATATGGGGAGTGGGCGGAGTTGCCTCCCGATTTCAACTATTTTCACACCGTCAATAGAAGTGCTAAAAAAATTTGCTTCTAGTGAATTTTGTTATTATAGCATTAGCGGTTTAGGAGATATGCACATTGAACCTATTAGAGGCGGGACCACGCCCACTTTTAAAAAAAAGTTTTAACTGCAGGTGCCCCTCCCTAATGTGATCCTGTGTACCAACTAACAGTCTTGTATCTTATTGCGGAGCTTAGTTATGGCAAGTTATTTGTTTTTGATTAATGGCGTTTTGTGGGCGTGGCAGTGGTCCGATTACGCCCATCTGCAATACCAACCGTCTCACGGTACCAAGAAACATGTCTACCAAGTTTCATAAAGATATCTCAATTTTTACTCAAGTTAGAGCTTGCACGGACGGACGGACGGACGGACGGACGGACGGACAGACAGTCACCCGGATTTCAACTCGTCTCTTCATCCTGATCATTTATATATATATAACCCTATATCTAACTCGATTAGTTTTAAGTGATACAAACAACCGTTAGGTGAACAAAACTATTATACTCTGTAGCAACAGGTTGCGAGAGTATAATAATGTGAAATAAATATACACGAACAGATCTAATTGCAGAATTTACATAATTTTTTATGACATTTCGTATGTATTTGTTGCATTATTTTCCATTCTTCTGCTTCCAAACTCCGTCGCTGCTTTCCACCCAGAGAACATAGTCGGATTATAAGGTTGTCGACATTTGTTGATCAGAAAGTTATGTATGTAGCAGGGTGCAGCTGAAACAATCGATTGTGCCCAATTCAAAATAATACCTTTCTCAGGCAAAGCTATTTTGCACTCAAAATTCCAAACGCGTTTTCAATACACCGCCTTGCCCTATCAAACGATAATTGAAAACTTTTTCTTCTGTGGATATGGACTTGGTGTTGTAAGGTTTTATTATACGTTTACACAGTGTAAATGCGTCGTCTCCTACAATGAAATATGGTACTTTTCGATAATTTGACAATTTTATTTTAGACAAACAAAATGCACGTAATAAACTACCGAATAACGACTAACGAATAAACAAAGCAGGCAGATTTATGCATATACATATAAATTTACATTATAATTATAAAATATACTTCCAGAATTTGGTGGGACATTGATAGCTTTGTGTTTGCCGTCGATAGCTCCGACGCAGCTCCGAGGATTCTATTGTGTTCTAAAGCCATAAGATATCTCCAACAGCGTGTGTTCTGTCCGCTCTGGCATTTTATTTTTCAACACGCTGAAAATTTCCTTACATACATTCGGCATGATTCTTCTAAACTGCCGCTTATTATTCGGGAGCAGGAGGCAATATGGCTACAATGACTATAATCTTCAGAAGCCAGGTACCTGAAAAAATATACGGTCAAATACCATTTGTACTAATATAGTACCCTATATATTTTCTTCACATATTTTATTACAATTGTTAACTTTGCTTTAGTAGGAATGAAATCATTCGGTTTGCTTTTCCGCTTTGGAAGCAGATATGGCTGCAACGTTTCCAAAAGCTCTTCCATAACATGTAACGGCATTCGGAAATTTTCAACAAAACAAGTCGGATCAATCCGAAAGATTTCAAACTCCGTGACAAACCTCCCCTTCTCATTCCGTGCCTTGAGATAAGGGCTCACCCAATGTCTTGCTTTCCTGCGCTTCACTCTACTATTTTTAGTTTCATATTTCATGCTTAGCATCACGACACCACAGCTCAAAAGTGTCATCACATTCAACCTAGAATCTATATACAATATATAAAACAAAGTCGGGTTTGTTACAACACTTATAACTCGAGATCGGCTAGACCAATTTTCATGGTTTTTGGTTCATTGGATTTGTCCCCACCCCGAATAGCAGAATACATCTTAAAAATAATAAAAACTCGACGAAAACATAATTATAAAAGATGAATCATTTTCCCTAAATGTTACTTTGTATCGTCCCTGCCAAACATTTGTTGTCCATCATGTCAAATACTATAAGTAATAGTTGACATACGTTCAGAAATAATGACAAATGATTAACGTTTACGCGTGCCTGGAAATCTTGTGTGTTTATTCTATTTTTTTTTTTATTAATAGTATTGTATTTATTACATTTTCTTTCTGCTTTTGTAGGTTTTCCGCGAGTTTCATTAGTTCTTGTTCGGAAAGTAGGTTATTTATGAAATCAATTGGTCTCTTTTTCATCGTAGAATGTATGGTATTATTATAGGCAGTTATTGCTTTGAATACTTTTTCTTTTAAATTGTCATTGTTGTTTGCATCAGCATTAAAAAATCTTAAGTGTTCATTCAAAGTGGAGTGCAATCTTTCAACATCTGCGTTTCCTGTTTTATTATAAGTGGTCGTTATGTGTAAGTTTATTTTACTGTCCTTTAAGAAATGTTTTATTGGTCTAATTCGTTGTCCGTTACTAAAGTTGCCGGGTTGCCTAAATATTGAATTCTTTCTTTTATAGCATTTACAATTGATATCCAAGTTCTGTCATTTAATGATTTAGTTGTTGCATATTTTGTTAGTTAGGTACATTACGGCTTTTTGTGGGTATCAAATATCAAAATGAACAATTTCGTTATGTTTTTTAGGAGTTTCCGTAATATTTAAATTATGTTTGATAGGGTTTCTATCGAACTTCGCTTTATTACATATTTCACAAATATTGATGTATTTCTGTATTTCTTTTTGTAATTTGGGGTAATAGTGTGTTTGCTTTATTTTTTCTGATATTTCATTTATTCCCCTGTGATTATTTTCAAGGTGTTTCTCTTCTATCAATGTTAAAAGTTCTCCTTTGTCTGTTATATCTTTTAAAATGATGTTTGCTTTCATTATTTTTAGGTTTGCATTATTTTCCAAAAATTTTATATATAACTCTTAAAATTGTTGAAATAATTTGTCATCTGGGCAGTGAATTACGACTAATCCTTTTTCTGTTAGAGATGCTTTGCATTATTGCATTATTTTTAAAATATCGCTTTCATTTGTTACGTTTATTATGTTTCTTATTTTCTTATGATGAATAATTTTCTTTGTTGTTGATTGTCTTTGCGCTCTTTGAATTAGTTAAGTTGATTTTTATATATTGTATCGTATTGATTGCATTTTCCGTTATTTTTATTAAGTATGTACTATCTGTTTCTGCACTTTGTACTGTAAATACAAATTCATCAAATATTTCATTTAAATTCAATTATTTTCATAATTTAGTCTGCTTAAACCATCTGCAATTACATCTTCTTTTCCTTTTATGTAGTTAATATCGAAATCGTACTCGTTCAGCTTTATTTTCTCTCTTTGGAGTTTAGCGTTTGGTTCTTTTAGGTTGTTTAGCCAAACTAATGGTCTATGATCAGTTTTAATAGTAAAGTGGCGGCCGAATAAGTATGGACGGAAATATTTCTTTGCCCAAACTATTGCAAGTAACTCTTTTTCTATTGTACTATAATTTTTTTCAAGCCCGTTTGGTGATCTATTTGCATAACAAATAACTTTATCAGTTTGTAATAGTGCTGCGCCTAAAGCAAAGTTGCTGACATCTGTCAGAGTGAAAGCTTTATTAAAATCTGGGTGAATTAAAATTGGATCTGCTACTATTAACTCTTTTAATTTATTAAATAATTTTATATAATCTTTATCATTTTGATATATTTTCGTATTTTTCTTCAAATACTTAATAATGTGATATGCAACTTTTGAGTAGTGTTTGATAAACCTTCTATAATATCCTGTAATTCCTAAAAATGCTTTTATCTCTTTGACATTTCTTGGAAGTAGAATCATTTATATTGCTTCAATTTTTCCTGGGTTTAGTTTAATACCTTCTTTTGTAATCATATGGCTTAAGAATTTTGTCTCTTGTTTTAAGAAATCGCATTTATTTATTTGTATCTTTAAGTTTTTCTCTTTTAATCTGAGTAAAATTTTACTCAACGATTCCAGGTGCTCTTCTACGCTTGTAGAAAATACTAGGATATCATCCATGTATACAATGCAAATGTTTCCGACATATTCTTTTAGTATTTCGTTCATTAGCCTCTGGAACGTTGCTGGTGCATTTCGCAATCCAAAGGGCATTCTGAGAAATTCATAATGTCCGTTTGCAGTGGAGAACGCTGTTTTATGTATGTCTCGTTCATCCACTTCAATTTGATGAAAACCTTTGCTTGCTAAATCAAGTGTTGAAAAATATTGGCATCTTGCTAATTTGTCAAATATGTCGTCTATATTTGGAATTGGAAATCTGTAAGCGTAATTACGCTGTTCAATTTCCTGTAGTCGATCACAGAAGCCATTTTTGTTCATTGGTTGCGTCCAGTTTCTTTGGTACCAGCCAAATAGGGCTATTATAAGGACTAGAGGATGTTCTGATTATACCTTGGGTTAACATTTGATCTATTTGTTTTTCTATTTCTGGTTTATGTATTTCAGGGTATCGGTAAATTTTAGGAAAATTGGTTATTATTCTATGTTTTGTTGAACTTGTAAATGTTTGATTATCATCGTCGTTATAAAATACGCTTTTATATCTCTTTAGTATATTTTTGTCTATACCGTTAAGATGATTAGTGTCAACGAATTCTGTGACGCACTTATTTTTTATGAAATTATTGAAGAACTTAATTTTCTTTATAGCTCTTTCTGCTATATATTTCTTCTTCTTTTGTTATATTAAAATTAATTATTGCTTTATTTGTTTTTATAGTTCTGTTTGGGTAATCTATTATCGCATTTATCTTCGTTAGGATATTGTTACAAATGAGTCCATTAAAGTTTTTGTTGAAATTACATTCAAGAAATTCGCATATGACATCTTTTTCATTAAATTCTTTAAATATTGGGAATGTACAAAGTTTCTTAATTTGTGTTTCTCTTCCCATTGCTGTGACTCGTACATTTACTTCTTTTTGCCATTTCGTGTTACAAATACTTTCATTGATTAGACTGAACTCTGCTCCAGTGTCAATGATGAAATATAACTTTCTTATGTGTGTGTCTATTATTATATAGGGTAATTGTTTTGTGGGTCCCAACGAAAATTTATATTTGCATTGCCAATATCCATAGGTTCTGGTTTATTGCGATTTGATATTGCAGATCGATTGTAATTTCCTGATTGGCTATAATTTTGTGTTTGATTTCCGTTTCTTTGTTGGTTAAGGTTTCTCTGTGAGTTTAAATTTCTCGGTTGATTAGAGCTTGTGTTTGTTGTCTGGTATGACATTCTAGTTCGGTTTGATCTGTTGCCATTGTTATTATAGTTATTACCCGCATTCGTTTGGACGTAGCCGTTGTTATGCTTATTTTGTGGCGTATAATTGTTATTGTAGTTATTTTCGTTTCTCGGGACATAGCCATCATCATATCCATAGTGTAGCATATTATTGTTATATCTATTATAACTTCTGTTATAATTGGGAAAATTATTCATATATTGGTTGGGTCTGGAAGATGTTCTATTGTTAGCATTATCGCTAAAATTAGTCTTACTATAGCTATTTGGGATAGGATCTTTCCTTTGTTGTCCAAATGCTGTGAAGGATTGATGTCTAGCTTCTAAAATTATTTTATATGCTTTATCTAAAGTATTCGTGTTTCTTGCTATGATCATTGTTTTTGTAGGTTCGGGAAGGTGTTCTTTAAATGTTTGTAGCGCTATCCTATTAACTACTGTAGTTGAAAAATTTAGATCATTATTGGTTTTCAACTCATCCACAAGTTCCACTGAACTGCTCTTTTCCCCACAGTTGTAAAGAAGTATTTGTTTCAATGTTTCCCAATCACTAACTTGTCCATATCTGTGAATTATTTCCCTTGTTTTTCCTACGCATCTTCCTTTCAGATAATTAAATAAATTTTTTGAATTATTTTCATCAAAAGTTGTTATTGTAGGTAAAATGTCTTCAATTTATCTAATAAAATCTGTTAATTGGTTCGGGTCTCGTCCATCGAATTCCGTAATTCCATTAATGCAATTTAAAATGAGTTGAAAATATGATATGGTAGATGCTTCCATTTTGAGAATTTTGTTTAAATTTTAAATAAAAAATATTCCTATTTATTCTGGTTTACTTTTGGTTTGTGTAGGAAATTTTTACTAAGTATTTTAATTGATCGTGTTCAACGTGATCGTGTTGAAACTTATTATTAATTGTTTTCTATTTTCCAACACCCGTGTGTATCCAACGCATTTTTTTTTACATTAATGTGCGATAGTTTCCATACATTAATATTTACTCTAAAAATATTATTGATACAAATATTTTTTTTTTTTTGTTGTACTCTGATTTGGTTCTGTGGTCGGCAGAAATCCGATAATAGATACCACAGTTTCACGACGTAAGCGGAGACGAGCTGGTAACAGACCGCCCCTGCCGTAGACGTGAGGAATCTAGCTAAGGTCAGACTTCTTACCTGTGTGTTCGATGTTCCTCAATAGCACAGCATACAGGTAAGGAGCCTTACCATGGTCGGGGGTACTATAAAGGGCTGGATCAAGGTGTCATGCGACCCGTGCCGAGAATCAACCTGGCTTGGGGCCCTAAAATAGCCTAGTCTCAAACGGAGCTGACGGATACCTGGCGCCCTCCGTAATATGATAGCCTTACTTGTGTAGCGGGGGCTATGCGCAAGCGGACACACTTTCGCCCACACTCGTGGGACCATTTATGAACCTTAATCAAATAAAAAACAAAAGGGAGCCCGGATATCCACCAAAAAATCCGGAGGGAGCTAGTTGCTCCCAAAAAAGAGCAGCGTTTGCAACGAGCTCGGCAACTATCAGCAAGAGGACAGGAGCGAAGCCTGGTCCCGTAGATAAGGCAGGCACAAGGAAGGGGGCAGAAGCTAAGGCTGGCCCCAAGAAAGTAGTAGCGCCGGAGGCAGCCAGGCCCAAACCCTGCAGTCAAAACACGACTGAGAAGCGGGGGGAGATAACAAAGGGGCTGCTGCTGGAAGTGCATCTGCCAGAGAGTGGCCCGTATTCAATATTCTGGACCCGGCAAAGGCAAGGTATGCGGAGAGACGACGTGCCACATACCTATTGAGGTTAGTGGAGTTGCACCTGCCAACCAAAGAGGAGCTAACTAAGGAGCTCCTAGCATCAATTGACTGCGCGAGGGCGGTCATACCTAATTTTAAGCTGGAACCTCCAATAAAGGCAGCAAAGCGACAGAGGTCAGCTGAAGAGGCTAAGCCGTCAGCCAAACGACCGAAAACAAAGGGCGTGATGCCCGCAAAATCATTTGCAGAAGTGGCCCGGAACCGAATTGTCACTGGCGTTGTGGATGAAAGGGACCCCGAAGGAATCCCCAGAGCCCAATGGAAATCGGTGCAGGCTGCGCTGACAAATGTGGCGCTGGAAGTGCTAATAAGTAATCCTGCCCCGCCACCGTCATGCACAGATCCCGGCTGGTACCAGGGCCAGATTAAAATGATTACATGCGATGACGAGAGATCGGTCGCACTATACAAAGCTGCTATAGCCAAGGTAGGGGAGGTATACCCGGGTGCAAAACTGATAGCAGTAGATAAAAAAGACATACCATCCAGACCAAGGGCAAGGGTATGGATCCCGGCTACACCATCACAGCCGGATCAGATTATGCAGCTCATATGAGCCTGCAACCCGAGTCTGCCCACGAAGAGGTAGAAGTTCGTCAACGCATTTGACGATAGCGTAGCAGAATCTGGCGTGGAGACCAAAAGGGCCACGATGCAGATTCTGCTGTTACTAATAAAAGAATCCATCGAACCGCTGGCGAAAAGTAAACTACGGATTCACGGAAGTGAGGATTACACCGTACAAGTCGGACGCCGATGCTGCAGACCATCTAACATCGGAAAGCGAGATATGCGAAGTAGAGGAAGATCCTATGGAATCCTCGAGCGATGTGGAAAGCATAGAGCAAGGTGAGTGTCAGACTCTTAAACATGTATACTGAGAGAGAGCTTTTGAGCGACTCTCAGGAAGACGCAGAAACAACATTAGTTAATGCGTCTTCTACAAATTAATCTTCATCACAGCAAACTAGCTTCAGCAGCCCTAATTAACCGCGTGGCAATAGAACAGCCTGAGTTTTTTCTCATTCAGGAGCCATGGGTTAATGGAGAGCGTATTTGCGGACTGAGGACATCGAGCTATTAGTTATTTATGGCAAATAGTCAAGGTAAAATCAGAGCTTGCATAATGGCAAAGAAAAACCTTAACGTTTTTATATTACATCATTACAGCAACAACGACACAGTAGCAGTAAGCTGGAAAACGAGCACATGCAGTTTTCGGCTGGTGCCGTGCTATATGCCGAACGAGGAGGAGCTGGTGCCCCGTCTGATGGTAAAAGAGGTGGTAAGGGATAGCGAGGCATCCAAGTGCATATTCATACTTGGATGCGACTCAAACGCGCATCACACAGTCTCAGATGTCAACGACAGAGGTGAGTGTCTCTTTAATTACCTACTAGGCATTAAGCTACTGTTGTATAATAAGGGAAGTACGCCAACATTTATTACAAGAAACCGACAAGAAGTACTGGGCATCACACTTGTGTCGGAAGTACTATTTGACGGGGTAACCCAATGAGAGTCCTCGAAAAACATTCCTTTTCGGATCACCGATATATTGAATGTATATTAGAAGAAAGGGCCGATAGAGGCATGGACTTCAGGAATCAAAGGAAAACGAACTGGCAGGTGCACATGCAAGAGCTGGAAAAACGTATCCCTATGATTCCGCCGTTTCAGCCCAATAGTAAGGAGGATCTCGACACCCTCGCTGATCAATTCACTGAATCTTGCCGGCAAGCATTAGAAGTGGTTTGTCCAATAACACGAAGTAGAGGTAGAATTAGGCCACCCTGGTGGTCTCTCGAACTTAAAAAGTTACAGAAAGAATACAGAAAGCAGTTCAATTTAGCTAATCAATTCCAAGGTGAGTCAGCCTGGGATTATTACTACAACCTCCTTAGGTCATACAAGAAGGAAGTTAGGAGAGCAAAAAGAAATTCTTGGAAACCTTTTTGTAATGTTATGGAGAACACGGCGGAAGCGTCTCGACTGAGGAAAATAATATCAGTATCGGTTATCTTCAGAAGTCAGACGGCAGTTGGACGGTATCCAGTGAAGAGTAACTGGAACTACTAATGGATACCCACTTCCAAGGTAGCTCTGAAAGCCATACTGTTGAATATACTCAAGGCCGTGGAGCAGAAATAGACTCCACTCTTATAAACACAGTGTCAGAAAGCAACGTACGCTGGGCAATAAATAGCTTCAAGTCACCGGGACCAGATGGTCTATTCCCGGCTCAATTACAGCAGTCGCATAATTACATAATGGATTGGCTAGTTACCATTCTTAAGGGGGCGCTGCAATTAAACTATATCCCTTCGCTTTGGAGAAAAGTCAAGGTAATATACATACCTAAGGCAGACAAAAGCTCGCATACAAATCCAAAGGACTTCAGACCTATTAGTCGCTCCTCGTTCCTTCTAAAAACGTTGGAAAGGCTAATAGAACTACATATAAGAAACAAACTAAAACCAGACAAGTTGGCTGGTTCGCAGCAAGCGTATTCTAAAGGAAAATCCACAGAAACAGCGCTGAGCTCTGTTTTGGCGGAGATTGAAAAATCTCTAGAAGTTAAAGAATACACTCTAATTGCCTTCTTAGATATATAGGGAGCCTTCAATAACATCCAGCCTAGGGTCATACTGAGTGCGCTTAAGGATCTGGACATCTCTGAACCTCTCAGAAAATTAATTGAACAGTACTCACAATCAGGTCAATAATTTCAAATCTGGAAGCGTCAACGAATAAGTTGCTGTGGGATCTAGAGAAGAAGGGGTACATGTTGTGGCCTACGCTGACGATGTGGCTCAGTTAGAGGTAAATTCCCTAATACTCTCGCAAACCTTATGCAAATGATCCTGGACGAAATAAACCATTGGGATGTATCGTGCGGATTAAACTTAAATGCTGGTAAGACAGAGCTAGTATTGTTTACCAGAAAGCATAACTAGCCAGTACTAAATGGTTGCGAACTAGCAATTGGAGATAAGGCATGCTACCTAGGACTAATCTTAGATAGGAAACTTTCATGGAAACAAAACTTGGATGCTAGGGTGAAGAAAGCAGCCACAGCACTCTACACTTGTAAAAGGATGGTGGGCCCCAAAAGGGGGCTAACGCCTCGGATAGCTTATTGGCTCTGTAGGGCTACAAAGCTTTTTTTGTAGCCACGCAAATATCGAAAAAGCGAAATATTTAAGCGAAGTTCTTCTCCTTAAATAATATTCTAAGCAATATTGCAATACCGTTTAATACATAATTTCCGCTAAGTACATAGTTTCGTTTTCTATTAGTGCATATATACATAAGTATGTAAGTTATATAAAAACAGTTCATAAAAGGAGAATAACCCAAGTACATACTTTACTCTATTGCTCCTTCGTATATAATGTAGTTATTAACAAAAGAGAAATATAAAAAAATGAGAACGCAGCATTGCAAGAGGCTGCTTACATATTAAGCTTAGTACATGTTAAATGGGACTAGCTAATGTGCACAAACAAATATTCATATAATTGCGTGGACGAAAACATAGCGGTAGCATAAGTGTACAAAGCAAGCGCAAGCAAGCAATAAATATGTAAGTATGTACACAATGCAAATACAATTATTAACTGCATTAAGGTGAATGATTTCTAATGCTTGCCCTTGAATATTAGGCTAATAAGTAGAGAACAAGAAATAGCAAAAATATATAGAACATATGACCAGTGGTTCTCAATCGGCAACCCAACAGGCTCTATACAGCAGTTGTCAGACCAATCATGACATACGGTATATTGGTATGGTGGGCAATAATGGATAGGAAATACGCGGTGAGGCGTATGGAAAGTATACAAA